CCCCAAAACCCCAAAACCCCACTGGAAGTAATAAATTTTCATTTTTAGATTAATAAATATAATCCATGTCACATATTTTTATCTAAATCTGATTAAAGCCAAAAGCTTTCATATTTTTAAGCTAGATGCTTGCCTTTTAAATTCCTTTTAAAAGTTTATACCAAGGACCAATTGAATATATCGCTTAATCAACCATTCAATCCTAGGTGCAAGCTTTTGCTCTCTGATTAACTTCTTACGTACGTTCATATCTTCAAAAGCAGAGATATCACTCATTGTGTCAAAATCAGGGTTTAACTAGAACTATGTGAAAAATCAATAATTTTACATCAATAGTAATCTTGTCGGCTACTCTTGAGAATGCTTCAATAAACTCAATCATGCTCATCTTGATATGACTATCCGTGTCTACTTCCAAGATATTAGTCATCTAAGCCAGATTAAACTGCACGCTGACTTCTCTAGGACCAAACTAATCATCAATCACATTGCCTTAATTAATTAATCTGTCAAACTCATCCAAACTCATAAATCTATCATGAACTATTATTTCCATTATGATTTATTACTTCTATTAGCCTGGCTTTGTGTATTCCCCAGAGTACTTTTCATATAGCAAATCAAAAGCTTTTTTGAAATACCTAAAAACTTTGTCGCAGTCCTCGTTCCATAGTCGTTCTCTTCTCCATAAACTGTTATCATACTATTGAACGTAGGGATTTATACTCTCCTCAAATAACCTTTAAACAGCTTCCAGTTGTGTTGGCACAGTTTTACCTGTGGATATGATTAATTGATCTGTGCTTACTTTTAAAGAACTTAAAAATGGCTATTCTAACTAGCAACTCCAGGAATTCAGGTCTAACTATGGCTCTCTCGGGGTTAAGCATATTGCTCTTGCCCCCACCTACATTGGTTGAAATGAACTCAAGATCCACGTCACTTATTGAGATAAACTTCCCATCAATTATATTGCAGTTGTTTATAAAATCTTGAAATACATTCTGTCCAATTGCTGGAACTCCATTGATTGGATTTATTCCTGCATAGTATCTATATGCTTCTCTCCTAAATACATTATAAGATAAGGATTAATTACAAATGTTTGTATACTCCTCTCAGGTATTCTTTGACTCTGTTCAGTTCATCTGCATTCTTAATAAACTTATTATACTTTGAGTTCTTCCAATCATATTCAAAACATTTCTAGTAAGTCTCATCATTATCACAACGATAGTCCTTAAATATCGACTTAGATATATCCCAAGCAGATTTGACTCTAGCTATTCCTTTTATCTTCTTTTACGGTTGTCGTGGAATGACTGTCATGTCTTCAAGGTAAGTTAGTGTAATCAACTGTCTTGATTGTGCAACATTCTAAACAATATTCGTGTTCGGTACCTCAATCTTCCTTTTACTGATGAAACTTTTGGTGAAGCTTTGTTAAGCTTAGTTCATCATTGGTGGCTAGCCGATAGAATAGTAGTAGAAACACTAGCCAGGAGGCATCATTCTTAATATCTGATACTCTCCAGTTTTTGGATTCTTCTCCATTTAATCTGCCTCATCATTATCAATGGAAAGATGGATGTAAACCAATGTATCTTCATCCATTTCATCATATAACCTTTTGCCAGAGTCGTCCACAATTATTTCTGAAGGGTTTACTTTAAATAAGACTTGCGACCAGCCCTCACATATCCAGCAATTGCTGGTGGCTTTCATCTCTAGCCTTTACTTTCTTAATGTGCCAGTATCAAGTGTCCCCTTAATCCTACTGATGACATGAGACAGACTTGGATCAGTAGGCTGATCCTTGAAATATCCCCTTGAGTTTGTGTTTACTTCATTGCCTATCATGTGAATCCCTAGTAAAGAATGATTATCCCTCAATCCCTCCTCCATGACTTCGCAATCACTTTTCTTGAAATTATTGTGGGAAAGATCAATATGTATCAAAGTCTTATTAGCCCTAAACATGTCACTGAATACTGTGCCCACTTCTATCTTAGAAAAGTTCATCATCTTCGATACTTTCTCAGTTTCCTCATAAACTAGATTATTTTGAATGAAAGAGGAATTAACTCCTTAGGTGAGATCACTTAAGCCTATGATTACCTAGGATCCAAATGAATTGAAGGAAGCATCTAGGATCTAAAGACTATCATTCACTTGCAAAGATTAGGCTATGAAGTAAGCACCCTTGGCTTTAATCTGGTTCCATCTCATAAATAAGACACTAATCTTAGAATTGAACTTCAACATACTAGCAATATGCTTTCCTCCTTCATCAGTTATCTTGTTCTGATTTATATTCAGCAAGGTTATGGAGTTGTTTTATGATATCATATTGCCTAAAGCTTTCGTTGCTAAATCACCCATCATATTACCCTCTAAGATCAGCTGTTATAATCTATTAAAATAAATAACTCAAATGCTTATTTTATTGAACTTACTAGTTAAGTTTCTGATCAATAATATCAAATAAAATCTAATAAGCTTCAAAGGTTATCTTTGGATTATATGAGATATCAAGAATAAGTAGATCTGACTTGAGAGCTTTTAAAATAGGAATGATTCCGACATCAGTTAAGCTATTGTTTCTCAATTCCAAGGAATTTGTAGATTCTAACGCCTACAACCCTTCGGCTAGTGCTTAGGCATATTAGTCGCCTATGGTTTAATCACTAAAATAAATGAAATTATTATAAGCCTTACTTAACTTTGATATCTTTTTTGTTTCCTTTTCTTGAAACTATGCCAATAGGTCTTGGAGGCAATCCAAAATCCTCACACTTATCGATGTATCTAGAAAATGCTGTATCCTATTGCAATTTATTTTTATCCTTTGTTTTGAATCTCATGAAAAACTACTCTAATTATTAACTATCCCCTACTCCAGTATCTTTAGATTTGCTATTATCTTAAGATACCCTTAGATTGTGGCTCTGGATTGGGACACTCTTGTAGTTTTAATCAAGACTTATCTTATTTCTGTCAAAGCTACTCCTAAGTTAGCTTTATGGGTGCATGTTTTCATTTTAATTGGCATTGTTGTCTATTTTAAACATTAATGTGGATTTTAGATTTTTATCAAGGGCCTTGTTATTATTTTTATTGGCCTCAACTTATATAGTTGAATGCTTAATGTCCTTTGTTACAAACGAGTTTTATCGGCTGTTGATATTAGATTAATCAAGAGTCATATGAGGTACTCTTAAGTTAGTTTGATAGCTATTCTTGATGATGTCTCTTTTGTGTATCTACATATTTTCATCGTTACTTGTGCGAAGAACGCTACCAGATTTTTTCATAATATCTATCTAGGACAAACTTCTGATCTTTCTTTGTCTGCTTGATTGCTGATCGTAATTGCTAATTAAGTTTGTCGAAATATCACTGTCACTTTCATTTAATCCATCTACCCCCTATAGTAGATTCCTTCTACTTTCGTTGAAGAATGATTTCATTTTCTCGTCTAGATTGCCTAATCGAGGCACGGATGAATTATTTCCGTTATTTGGTCTCGATCTTTTTCTAAAGTTCTGCATACCCTTTTACACGATTTTATCTATCTCTTCTATACTTTTATCGTAGAGCTTTTGCTGGTTCTCGTATAGCATTTGCTGTTCAATAGGAGGATTCACACTTAACATTTTAAGTAGATTAGTATTCTTAGCATTACAAAGCTAAGGTAGGTGCACTCTCGCAAAAGTCTTAATGATGATTTCATTTTATTCTTTTTCTCGCTTCTAAGCTTCTTAAGCATTCCTTTATTTCAGAGAGTTGTACTTCTAGGCATTGATATTACTGCTATTGTTAGCATTATAAGGGCTCTACTCATTTGAATTGGAAGGGTTTGGGTTATGCGTTGGAGAGACTAACTTTGAGTTTCGTTTAGAGTTCTTATTGCTCATACCGAAATTAGTTTGCAAAAGATGGCTACTGTTTTACTGATTGTATAGCTTTGGATTTAGATTTTATTGTGTGGTATAGTTAGAAATTATAGTATCCTAAAAGGGCTTGACGTCTAACTGAGGTTTTTTGTTTATATGAATGTCCTTCATTATTATAGATGATCTCCTTTCTGCATTTGCCTGTCTTTTATTGGAAAAGTTGATGTTTGGAAGGACTAGCAAATTCTAATCAGATATCGAATTTCTCAGTGTTTTCATTATGAAAATTATATATTAATAAGACAGTGATTTTACATCTGCAGTATCAGAAGTTATTCAAGCTTTTAGGGGTTTTGGGGTTTTGGGG